GGGTCGCTACAGGCAGGAATTCAAATTAACAAAGCTTTTTTGGCATGGCTGATGGCTTCGTGTTGTCAAAGCTCATAAGATTAACACATCTGCAGTGCAAACAGTGCTGGACAGTTACATACAGCTGATCTAGTGCACAGACACGCTAGCTGTCAGATGACTGGCAGGGGTGTCGAATCCTGATCCTCAGCAGGTGATGTCATCCGCTCTGGTAGTTGATGGAGTTATTGACTCTGTTGGGAGTGTACATCCCTCATCCTGTTTCAGGAGCTGCTCTCCGTGTACCAGTGATATCGAATGGGAGTGATGGCGTGTTCTTCAGCCTGTGGCGCATCATGGGAGGGTGTTGCTGATACACTGCTGGTTGGCGGCTGTGAGATGGTGTCCTCTGTCCTCTCACCCTGTCGATTGTAGGCTTGCGAAGTTCGGTACAGGATTGTCCTGGGCCTCGTGGTTTTTGGTCTGATCTGTCTCTGTGTTGGCCCGTCCTCTCCTCTCTGTATCACAAGAGTCAGGTCAGTGGCTGCGGGTCAGAGGTTCGGTTCTGTTGCTAGGGGGACTGGGCCGTGTGTGTGGAGTGGGTCATTGTTCAGACAGGCGGAGTTACAGTGCCCAAGTCTGGCCAGACTGGAGTGCGGCTGTCAGGATGAGAGTGATGAGCACTTTTGAGCAGTTTAAGTAATTCATTTGGGATCACCCCTATCCAAGCATGGGGGGTCAGTTTTGCTAAAAGCAGCCGGTCAGAGCCCTGTGCTGCTGCTTCAGCTGAGTGAGCGCCCCCTGGAGGACAGACAGCTCTCGGACAGCACTGCAAGCCCAAGGCTGCAGGAGACCAGCTGGTTCCAGACGTTGCCTCTGACTGGTCAGCTGAGAAGAGCCCTCTGGCCAGCAGTGGTCATCAGCCAGTTTTTCTCCGTTGTCATCCCTGTCCAGTCCCGTATCTGTTTAGTTAGCTGTCGGGGACTGACCTGGACTGCAGCTGTCCTGGGGGGACTGCAGAGCCCCCACCCGTGTAAACAGATGTCCTCTGACCACAGAGCACGGCAGTCTCCAGGGGGCTGATGGGATAGCCCAGGTGGCAGCTGGAGGTCAGAGGGGCTGTGTGTGGGGGGAGTTATTTCCAGGCTTTATCCTGAATTGGGCACAGGGGTCAGGGGTCAGGGTGCTTCACACACAGGGTGGGGGTTGAGAGCAGTCTGCACAGACGGGTTACAGGCAGCGCTGCCGGAGTAGAGGAGAAAGAGGCAGCTCCAGTGTGATGGCAGGAAATTCTCTCTGCTCTCTGCAGGAGTGTGTGAGCGACAGGGGTTCGACAGGAGTTGCATGGCGGCTTCACCAGGTCGTGAGGGACCGATCGCAGTTTGCTGTTGTCTCCTGCTGTTTATGGGTGCACAGGGTCGTGCTGTTGGGGGGTGCCGTCTCCCCTCCCAGTCCACAGGGCCGTGCACACTGTGGTGTTGGGGGTGATGTCTCACCCTGAGTGCACAGGGCCGGGGCGCTGGGGGTCCTGGGCGGCTGTTCTAGCTGAGGGGGGTGAGGACTGGCAGTGCACACTGTTGGAGTGCTCTCCTGGGTGACCAGGTGTTCCTTGTCAGAGTCTCTGTTGAAGTGTGACTGGAGGTGCTCTGCGTCCCTCCCCATGTCCCAGAAGGCCTCTGTTCTGGTGGGCTGGGGGTGGCGTTTGCAGTGGCTTCCCCCTGGACCTGATGTCACTTCCTGTTCTGGCTGTGTTCCCAGGCTGCAGGGCGTGACCTGGCTGAGCGTTTACTTCACCACCCTTGAGCGTTGAGTTTTGTGACGCGTGCCGTTTCTACTCCAGACTGGAGTTGTTGAACAGGCAAGTCTGTGCAAACTGCCTGGGCTCATTTTTCCCCAGAAACATTTCAAGGGATCCACTCAAGTTTAACTCCTTCCTCTCCTCTCTTGCAGGTGAACCGTTTTCTCTGCATGCAGAGCAAGTCTTCCTGTCCAGAAGGCACAGTCTGGTTGGAAGAGAAGTGAGTGAGCTGCTCCTGCAGTGGTGAAGAGTAGCACAGGGACACCACACAGCCATTCCTGGGGGAGATGAAGCCGGATGGGGTTGCCACGGCAGCAATGGAATCTACAGAGACACTGGAGGCGGGGCCTGTCGTCGAGGCAGCACCCTTAGGGGAGGAGCCACAGGAGCAGGTCCCGCCCCCCGAAGAGAAGCAGCCTGCCGAGGAGAAGCAGCTGGCTGAGGAGACGGCTCCCCCTGCAGCCAAGGAGGGGAACAGCAAGCTCGCGGCCGGGAAGGCCAAGCCGAAAGGCCAGGCGGGTGGTCCAGCTAAAGGCAAGGCCAATTCTACTGGCGGGAAGGCTGCGGGTGCTGCGGGTCCCGGCTCCCGACCTGGGACGGCGCAGAACCGCTCTGCGGTTAACGGCGTCCAGAAGCCCCTGGCCAATGGGGTGGCGAAGAAAGCGACCGCGGCCGCCACTGGCACAGAGAAGAAGAAAGTGACCATGGCGAGCGTGGCGCCGACGAAGAGGCCGGTTGGCTCGGCCACCGGCACCCCCTCTTCCTCAAGCACGCCCAACAAGATGGCCGACAGGAAGCCCACAGGGTCTGCCCGGCCCGTCTCGGCGGCCGGCGCCAACTCCACATCGACCAACGGCACGAAGGCAGGGGCGGGGGCGGCCCAGCCCAACAAGAAGCCGGCGGGCGGGACCAACACTGCCCGGGTGCGGCCCAGCAGTGCCGGTGAGTCCACAGGGCCTGCCGTGACCAGACGAGTGCTCTGGGCAGGAGGGGGCGCCAATCAGAGAGAGTCCCCTCGGCCAGCTCCACCAGAACGCTG